TGGTCTGGGTTTGCCTATCAATATTGCTCTTTTTGATGGGTTTGCGTTTCGCAGTTCCGCGTAAAACCCGTTTTGCGCGTTTTCGGTTTTTGGGTTTGGGTTTGCGGGTTTGCCTATCGATTTTAAGGTTTTTCCGGGTGGTCGCGTGTGTATGCGCCGGGTTTTGCGAGATTTCCGCGGGCCTTTCCTTTTGTTTTTGAGAATCCCCTGTGCACCGAAGTCACCCCTAAGCTAACTTCGCAACGACTTGGTGGATTTTTCTGAAAAAGTGTCCGGGGGGCTAACTTTGCACGCTGAGTCGATTGGTGAAGGAATCAGAGCGATCCGACCACGTCTTCACACTTTTCCAGATGGGGACAGGTGGGTTTAAAACAGGCGCTCAGGATATATATGTTCCCGTGGTCCGATTTCAATTCTGACAAGTGTTTTGTACTCCTGACAACTTGCCATCACCAACATCGAAGAAATCAGATCGATAGCGGCGCTGCGCGCCGAGATAGCAAAACCCCGTTTTGAGCCTAAACCTAAGTAAAGTGGTCGGGGACCACTCCTAACCGAAGCCTAAGCCTAAGCCTAAGCTTAAGCCTAAGCCTAAGCCTAAGCCTAAGCCTAAGCCTAAGCCCAAGCCTAAGCCTAAGCCTAAGCCTAAGCCTAAGCCTAAGCCTAAGCTTAAGCCTAAGCTTAAGCCTAAGCCTAAGCCTAAGCCTAAGCCGAAGCCTAAGCCTAAGCCCAAGCCTAAGCCTAAGCCTAAGCCTAAGCCTAAGCCTAAGCTTAAGCCTAAGCCTAAGCCTAAGCCTAAGCCGAAGCCTAAGCCTAAGCCTAAGCCTAAGCCTAAGCCTAAGCCTAAGCCTAAGCCTAAGCCTAAGCCTAAGCCTAAGCCTAAGCCTAAGCCTAAGCCTAAGCCTAAGCCTAAGCCTAAGCCTAAACCTAAGCTTCGTCCAAATAGGTCCTTAGAATATTAATTTAAAACCAGGGTTGAAAAGCCGCTTCGCGACTTTTCAACCCTGGCCTCGTCTAATCCCTTGATATATTACATTTGCATCATTCTCCCGAGTTCCGATGACAAAAAAAAATGAAAATAGCTCCTTCTGCCCTTTTTATAGGCTGTCGTCACTTCCGGTGGATGCTAATTTTCCCTAACAAAGAGGCGCGCCCGAATTTTAACAAAAACCTAATTTTAATGTCGAAAACATTTGATTTTTCAAAATCTGATATGTGTGCAGTCATCCCGAGACCATTACGCACCTAATGACGTATCAAACACACCCCTAACTTCCTTCCTTCTTGAGATACTGCTGGAACACGCTGACGGAAGTTGCATGCAAAGTGGCACACACACACACACAAACACTATTTTTTTAGATATAGTAGGATGATACGGCAAGCCTTCTCCACCCCTAGGAATTTTTTTCTTTAACTAAGTAAATGGCTTATTTAAACGCTTTTTTTCAAGCAAAAATGGACTCGGATATTAAGCCGAGTCCATTTTTGCCGAATGACGAATTCCGAGCCTGAAGTCATAAATCGAGCACCACAGTAGCGATCGGTCTATAACTCAGGATTGTGGTTATTTAGGGTCTGATACACCTCTGGTCGCATTTTGGGACCGATCGGATGGAAGACGGTCGAATGTCGGGGGTGTGCTTTTTTCGGGCACCCTTTATGGCTATTCGCTATGCTTCTAAGGACTCTTAGAAGCACAGTAAGACATGTAGATACATAAATTTGGGTTACGGTGAGGCCCGTAACAGTGGAGGGGGCGAAGGGACGAGTGCCACCCCCCGAAATTTCGGGTTTATTACGGCCCTGGTTACGGTGCAACCTTAACGAATGCCAAAACCCTCTCATAATTCCGAGCCGTTTATATTACCGCGCGGCATTTTTTATCTCTAAAATTATTTGCACAACTGGTGCGGACTAGCGAGTTCCCGGGCTGTCATCTTCTTCGGGGTGATTTGCCCCGGGATCTGACCGTTGTTGTGATAGGATACGCATAGATACGTATCGCTATACGTACCAATCGGTATGGTACGTACCTGACGGATTTCTTGCTCAAATGTACGCAGGGGGCGGCAAGGGTACAGATTTCAACCTGGCGAGAGTCTATATAAAAGCTACACAACCAAGAAGCTGGTCTCCACGGAGCAAGGTAGGGTTTTGGAAAGCGGTGGTAGCTGCGTACATTAAAAACTACATTAACAACATATAAAAACTAACAGTTTTAGGTCGTGATCCCTCAAAGCAATTTTCTTTTTGAAATGCCTTGTGTGGGAATGTCGAGTTGCTTGTTATCAGGATCGGTTGGCCTTGCACAAGGAATCCTGGGCCATCGCCTTGTACAAAGCATTCGATTTTCCGACAGACTTCAAAACAGCAAAACTTCCGGTTAAGCCTTCCCGTATATGAGAAATCACACGTATGCAGCTCATGTGTAATCTTTCCTCAGCGTGCATTTGCATACAGCTTCCGTCGGCGTGCTACAGTCGAGATGTGTATGTGTTATGCCAATCGACGTGTAATTGCATCAGTTTCGGTCACCACTTTTTGTTAAGTAGCCGTTTGCATGTGCCGGAAGTTGAAATAGCTTATATAAAGGTTGAATGAAGTGCTCAATTTTTAGTCCGAAATTCAGGAAAGATCATGCAAGAATTATATGAGTGTACTAGAGGTTATAAATTAAATATTTTTGCTACTGTGATTTTTTCGGGTTCTTTACATCGTTCACTTACCTGCAGATACAGACCGTCATCAATACGCATCAATACGTATTGCGCGGCTGAATACGTATGAATACGTATTTTGCTCTAACTCGTTCTCACTTCAAACTCTTCAAAACTATCAAGGTTCGACCTTTGAAACGATTGTCAGGATCCGGCTTGGTCTTGCTGGACTATAATATGTCTGTGGTAGATTAATTGTTAAATTCTGGTGTTATTGATGATGGATTAATAAATGCGAACACAGGCGTAGTTTCTGATCAGTTTAGCGATGCTTACCAAGAGCGATCGTCCGGTTATCAGCAATCGACCGTCTTCTACAAGCAATTGAGTGTCTTCAGCAAGGCATTATTATCACAAATTGCTCCCATATATTGACATTAACGATCTGGGTGTCCTGGAAACAGGCATCTTTATTTTGAGTATTTTCCCTCTGCCATTTACCTTGAACAAGAAATCCCAAGTCTTTGAAGCCAGGCTTTGCCCAGATCTATATCAGCTTGTAAACCCTTGTCCAAGAGTAGGTTTCTTTCGAAATTCAGGGGTCTCTTGATAGCGACAGAGAGAGAGAGAGAGAGAGAGAGAGAAGAGAGATAGAGAGAGGCAAAGTCAGAGACATAGAGAGACAGAGTGATAGGGACGGTGAGCGAGAGACCGAGACCGAGACAGAGAGAGAGAGAGAGAGAGAGAGAGAGAGAGAGAGAGAGAGAGAGAGAGAGAGAGAGGATATATGTATAATGGTAGGTATCGACACAGCGACCGTAGGAGCAAAGAATAAAATCAATTGCTGCGCATACATATGAAAAAGCAAGAGCGTCAGTCCCAACAGCTTAATAGAAAGTTCATCGACTTTGAGGGGAAACCAAATGGCGGCAACTCAAAGCTTACTGTAAATTATAACTAATACCCTCATTACTAGTTTATTTTACTTGTATTCTTAAACAAATAAAACGTGGTGCCTGAATATTGCCACTCGGCTTAAAAAAGATGCCTCGAGTAAGAACGTATTGTGCAAGGTGTTGGGCAGCTCCCAAAGAGGTATTTTTTAGAGGAAAGGATCTACGCTCTAACCCACTGCTCCTTAACGGCGATCCTACATCCTCCTTATCCTCCGACCACACGCTACTAACAACAGAAAGGAAATAAAGCAGAACCATTTTGGGGTGTTTTCTTGTCTCTATAAGCTTTTCTTTCTGACGCATCACTTGCTGCTCTTCCTTTCATTCTCAGCGCTTCCCTCCCGATCACGGTCTATCATTTCAATCTCTTGTCCCAGGCAATGCGGCAAGCCACGCCCCCCCTACCCCTGTTCATATATACGGGTCAATTTTGAACTCCACGCCTCACTTACAAGCTTCCTTGAACAAATTTGTAAGACGCTATCTAATTTTGTTGCAACACTTACTACCGTAGGCTTGCTCCTTTGTTCGTGAAAGGTTAATTGGGAAGAAGGTCAAGGATCTAAAAATAATCGGAAAGTACAAGGAATCCAAGTTAGGGTTAAATTTTTCATTTGGATCTGCCCTTAGGAAGGGAAACGTTCTGAATGGATTCGTTTTTTCAAGAATTTGCCCAAAAATTTACGGGCCAAAGATTTTCGAAAGACCGTAACCTGATTTCGACGCCCCTTTAATATTATTTGTTAGCGGTTGGTTGTTAGGTTTTTGGGCCTTCCTCAGTAGAAATGGTTCTTGCGTGATTCTGTGTTTTCGCGAGTTCAGGCCTAGAGGCGCTCGCAACCCAGGTCTGTGCCCCCCTTTTTCCCCATGGCTTGTGCAAGCCATTGCGGGAATGCCGGGCGCGGCCCATCCCGAGTTCCCTTATCAGATTCATTTTGTGGGTGGCCTCAAAAATTCGTGGCCAGTCATTTTTATATAAAACATTACAGGAATAATACCAAACTGATCCGGGGTTCTATAAAATTGGCGTGTAGAATTTTAGATTCGTCTTAATATTTTATTATTGAGGCATTTTTCTAGTAAAAAATTCACTGTTCAATACCAACACCTGTTTTCCTAAATAGTTTTTGGTTAAAAACTTTTGTTTTTGTGATTTGCGACGATGGGGAGCCAAAAAAGATCGATTTTCCGATCAAGCCATTCTCTTCTGCAAGCTAAAGGCCCGCACAAACTCTGCCTCACCACTATCTCCCCAAAAATTTCCAAAACCCTTTCTGGTGATATTGATCTCTTGCTAAGGCGGTTTTAATAAAGAAATTATTCTTATTTAATTTACTTAATTTACTTAATTTACTTAATCTCTTATTAATTACCCAAGGTTTAGATGAATCACATCAGCATTCACGATGACTACCCTGCCGCCCCGATGGAATTAAGCTTGGATACGGCTTGGATGCAGCAGACGAATCAAGGACCACCGATGTCTTACAATTCCGACACCAACCAATCGCCAGACCAATACTGCAATGATCGTTGGGAAGCTATTCCTGCTGGTGTAACCCTGTCTCCATTGGGAAGTCCAGTAATGTACTTGTTGGATTCGTCGGCACAACCCAGCACCACACCGCAATTCGACACATATAGGTGCGTGGTGCAAAGAGCAGTCGAAAAACCTTAAATTCTTTCTTATGCCTTCCTTAACATTATCCATTGCAGCGAAGAGTGGTTCTACCCTGATATCAATGAACAGGCATTCGAAGTGTCGTATATATCACCAAAGCAAAACCTCACCACACAGTCTCCGCTTCGGGATGAGGGCTACCAGTCTGCGACGGAAGCCCCCAAAAACAAGCGGTAAGCAACACTTTCAAATTAAGATGCATTTTCAAGCCATGGAGCATACTTGTAAAACTATGTTTTATAGACTCGGCATCCCGGAACCGCCAAAGGGCCTTGGTCAGAAGACTTCCGGTGCTGGTTGCCCTCCAAAGCATCAAATCAACTTCAACAAGCTAACTCTGGAGCAAAAAAAGATTCGGAACAAGATCTGGGTACTATTACTAGGTCTTGCCTGATGTAAATTTCTAGACTGAAAAATGGCCCGAGTACGCCGAGCTGGTCAACACCCAGGCTGAGCCAAAAGTGGCGGCAGACTTTGCGAATGAGGTCTGGGTGATTGTACTGAAGCGTCTCCGGAATCAGATCTCTGTAAAGCAGTCGCGCAACGGGAAGCAGGACAAATTCCAGGAATTTGCGTGAGTTGGTTGCGAATTAAGGAATCTATTGGAATGGATGCTTTTATTTAAGTCATATAGGTATTTTCTTACAGTGACTTGATGGAGGGGCTGGTGGAGGAAGCTGAGGACGATGCAGGAACTTTTGCGGCAGCGATGCTCAAAAAGCTTAAAAAGTTCGAAGCGAAGCACAAATTGGGCGTGCTGGAAATGGTTAGTATTTTTGTACGAATTTTATATTAGTAATCAGGTCAAACTCGAGCAGGAGTTAGTACGTATTAGCATTTGCATTTCCCCTTTAACCACAAATAAATTAGTGGACGCATTTACGAAACCCTGTTTTATCATATCGTTGCAGCTCCGTGGCAGCAAGAAAGAGGAGACGAAGCGAAAAGCAGGGACACGCCGACGCGGAGGCGCTTCCTCTTCCCGAGATTGACCCCCTTTGGTGGTCTACTATAATTACTGCCATTTCCTTGATTTGCAGTCTTGATCAAATTGCTCTTTGCCTTCCGAAGCGGCGGATCGCTAATCGTGACACGGTTTTCACAGAAAAGTCACTTGAAAAGATGAATATCGAAAACGCAATCGGCTTTTTCCATATCTGCCGCATTGCTTTCTTGCTTCCCTTAGCGTAATTTATTATGTGCACAGCTTTTATTTATTTTCTTCATGGATTCCAATTTAATGGACCCGGTGACCCTCATTTGTAGCATCTCATTCCATGAATTGTATATACTATTTGTATATAATAAATTAGCTTTTGAACGCTTTTCTTTCTAACTTTTTTTGGTCACAGGACCAAGCTCTATTTCGGTTTTGGACATAATCTGTTCAGTTGTCATCGCAGCTAACGGACTAGAAGTCTCGCTGAGCGTCATCCAGTTACATTCCAGCATTCAAATAATAACCACTTATTCAAATAATTCGGAGATTATCGTCCGTTACCCTCTTCCTCTGAAAACGCGCTTCTACTTAAATCCAGCATTTGCGTTTCAAAGTCAGTCTTTCTCTTCATCCATATTTGTTCTAATCTGCAATTTAATCGCGCCTCCTTTTCCAGCATCTTTCTTCCGTTCAACCTGGACAACGATGTTGATCTAGACAGTTGAAAAGCCCTATGGCTACTGATTTAATTCTGTTTTCCTTGTAATACAGAAAATAAACCAGCTAGAGTTGTCGTGAACGCTATTGGCTAATGTAATTTTTTTATAAAAATTACACAATAACCAGCAGCGCGTGGCGCCCAGCTTGTTTACCTATTATCTTCATGCGCTTAGCGCCCAGAGGCAGTGCGTCGAACAAAATCAGTCGAGATTTACCCTTGAATTGCCTGAAAATAATGTATCAAATCAACTTTTTTCGTCGGTCACCTAATGCGGGAGTGGGGCGGTCCGGCGAGCGCCCTATTCTTATCTTCCTGAATTGCTGGCCGTCCGCTCTTCATTATTGCTCTGCTCTCCATTATCTCCCTTATTTCGAAAGAATTGCTAATATTACAGCTGTTTGCTTTTCAGGTTCTCTACCGAAGCCATTGCTCGATATGCCAAACGGCCAACCATACCTGTATGTCCTTCCAATTCATCATTACTTCTGGTTCCTAGGGGCCCATACCACGAAGAGCACCAGGCTTGGCCGGTTCCCGGCACATCTTCTGCAACCCCTCAAATATCTGGACAGGTTTGATCTTCTGTTCCTATACTATATGAAGAATGACAGCAGCCCCACGTAGCACCCAGTGAATACCGCCACGCAAATGTGATGGTCGGTCAGCCTGCGATGGTCGGCCAATCATAGTAAGGCGATTCAGAAGATTGTTTTCGCGATCGAAGGGGCCAGAAAGTAAGAGTTAGCTTGTTTGGGCTCAAAACTAGTGGCCAAAAACTACAGCGGTGCGGGGCTAACCTAGAGATACCAGCAAATTTAGTTAGTGGAGAAAACGCCCAATGTTTTAGAAAAAAAAATAAAAATATTTGTTTTAAAATAAATTTTTTAAATTAAATAAATGTCTTTAATTAAAAGCTGATGTTCACAACAAAAATTGAAACTCAGTAATAAGTATCTATGTTGTTTAGTGATCAACCCACGTACATCAACTTGCAACCGATGTCTACTCAGGTTTGATTTGGTTTGTATTAAATTCTCAGGATTATAGCCGAACTACAATCACAGAGCTGGAATTAATGCTATGTCTGGAATGCTTCATCGCAACTATGGCGACCAACGGTAGTATGCCAATCAATGATCCTACTATATATAAAAAATAGTGACTGTGTGTGTCTGTGTGTGCCACTTTGCATCCACTTCCGTCTGCCTGTCCGGAGGATATCTCGGTTGGGGATGAATTTTAAGGTATGTATGATACGTCATTAAGTGCGTAATGGCCTGGAGATGACTGCACGCAATTAGATTCAAGAAAATCATCTATTTTCGACATCCTACAATATATAAAAAATAGGGTCTGTGTGTGTGTGTGAGTGTGTCCGTGCCACTTTGCTTGCAACTCCATCAGCGTGTTCCAGCAGTATCTCAATAAGGGGGCCAGTTAGGGGCATGTATTATACCTCATTAGGTGCGTAATGGCCTTGGGATGACTGCACAATAACAAAATTTTCCAAAAATTATGTGTTTTCGACGTTAAAATTAAGTTTTAATTGAAAAATCTAGGACCCTCTTTGTTAGGAAACAATTAGCATACGCCGGATGTTGCGGTTGCCAATATAAGGGAAGAGAGGTAGCGTTTCTCATTTTTTTTATTATCGAAAATCGCTAGAATTATGCAAAGTGAAGAATATCATGGGATCAGACGGGCCAGGGTTGAAAAGTCGCGAAGCGGCTTTTCAACCCTGGTTAAATTTAACTTTTTGTGAAAACCTCTTTGTTAGGGATAATTAGCATAGACCGGAAATTGGGATTCGACTATATAAATGGACAGGAGACGTTGTTTTTCATTTTTTTGTCATCAGAATTTAGGACAATTATGCAAATTGAAGGATAAAATGGGGTCAGACGGGGCCAGGGTTGAAAAGTCGCGAAGCGGCTTTTCAACCCTGGTTGCTTCATTTAATGAACTTTGTCTCATGCCTATACACCATCCCCGGTTTTTTCTTTCCACCTCTAAAAAATCCGCCTATATGTTTATCAGCTCCTAATTAACCATGAATTCTGGGTGGCCAAGCATAGATCCCAACATGACGACATCTTTAGCGCCCCACCCGTCGATGGACAAATAAGCTACCAATATGGGCCGCCTGGATCGGAACAGGTTGTTTCCCGCAAATTTGAATTCATGTTTTTAACTATAGTATCCTGCTGCCAACTACGGCGGTGCAGCAAGCGCTAGGGGCCTACCACCAATGGAGTACGGGCCTCCGGCTCAACAGCAGCAGGTTTTTTTATTTATTTATTTATTCGTATTTTTCTAATTCATACAGAGCTACCATCCCCCGGGCAATCCATCACAAGCGGCGACCCGAAATGCCGTTGTTTCACAACAGTATGTGAGATCTCGCAGCGGTTTCGCAACCGTTTATTGAAAAAGATTCGCGATTTCATCGCTAATGGTCAGATTACGTTCAGCGATCAAATTTTAAGTTTACTGTCTCAACTACAACCATTTCTTTTCAGGGGACATCCCGGGATGCTACAAAACCAAAGTACAGCCCACCCTGCTTTTAATGGACAGCAGTAAGTAAAATTTGACAATTCAACTTTGCTACCTGCATAAGGTTTAAACTTTGCTACCTATATGTTTATCAGCTCCTAATTAGCCATGAATTCTGGGTGACCAAGCATAGACCAGGAACGTCCAGGAAAAATTACCATAAAACGGGATGCAGTTGTAAAATTAGCATAAATCGCCCCACTCTCTGTCCATTTTTGCATTAGCATGCATTAAAAGCACTTGCTAATCCTTGCACTGCCAAAAAACGACTTTAGGACCTTAAAATCCTAAGGATTAACCTAAAAGTTTCAGATGCCCTCCTCACTACAATCCACCGGCGCAGATCAGGCAGGTCAGTCCCCCATTATTTTCAATCGGAGCTGATGTTTTTGGTTGTTTGTTTTAAGAACAATCGGGTGTAACCATGCGAACTGATCGACCTAAGGAGATTTTTAAAATCACTAATTTGTTTAAAAAAATCAACCATACATTTAGGCACCTGCACACCCACCGGATCCGAGCCAAATGCACAACCATTTTGGGCAAGGAACCAACCAATTCTACGCCGAATTTTAAGTTTGCATGACGTATTTTTGATCGTTATTTAGGCCGATGCAGTGTGTCATGTCATCCATCAGTGCTCCTGAGCAATTTTATAATATTGGTCCAGTGCAGGTAGCTTAAGTTTTGCGTTCATTTGCGGAATTCAGCCCCCAACATGGCAACCAAATGTTGGCGCTCTCCGAGAAAACGGGCTTTGCCCTCCTCAGCAAGCCTCGCATCAGCTAGCGCTCGAGCCCTTAAAGGTAATTCACTTCTGAATAAACTACCAATGTATTGGGTCTTTTTTTGCTACTGTTACATTACCGGCAAATCATGCTCGAAGACAATTTATAGTATACCGTATAGGAAAGCATTGATCGCATCCCAATAACTTGAAAATCAATTCGGAATCAGCGAAAAATTCAGTAGATATCCTAATTTGAATTTATATTGACGAAAAACGTTTTACTATTACTTTTATTACAAATGACTTTTTCCTGTTTCGAATGCCAGCAGATAGGAAGCTAAAAAGTTGTCTGCAAAATCTACAGACCATGCAAACCGAATTTTCAAAACAGACCATTTCAGGTCCAACAAGTCGAAGCTGTGAATCGACCATCTCTTAAGCGTCCCAGGTGAGGGTAGTCACGCACGGCGTCTCAAGTCCTACATTTTGCAACTAAATGCTTTCATTTGTTTCATAATTTTGCAGCTACTTTCTGGTCACAAACCGCTCAATAGAAGAATTTGATAGGAGTTTAAAAACAGCATTTTTGAGGAATTCGGGCCAACGATACTCTATCGCAAACGATGTCCAGCGTCCGACGGTAAGTGGCCATAAGGTGTTGTTAATTAAATTTATTTGCAGACACTAACGCAGCCGACGATGTAAGCATTGCTTCCAGTCACATGGTTGCATCACACGTAATTTTGGTTTATTCGCAATGCAGTTACACAACCTCGAAATTACATGAATATTATAGGCGCGATGCAGTCGTATCACAGGAGTCAATTGAGCCGTTCCATAAGTTTTGTGAGAGGCATGTTTGGATCGATTATTTTTGAAGTCGGCTTTAGATACAATATTCCACCCCTTGAAGCGAGCCACCTTGAGAAAAGACCTACCGGCTCTCCTGCCAAATATTTCACAACCTTCGCAGACTTCGACAAAGTTGAAGTGCGCAAAAGAATATTATTCCACCTGGTATTTTTGTTTTACCGATGTTGACGTAAATTTAGAAAAATTACGGGGCAAAACCACGGGACGGATTCTGGCCGAGGGCTTTGCACCTTCTCCGCGGAGAAGATTCAACCGCAGCGTCTAAGAAGAAAAGCAAGGAGACAATTCTCGATCCCGCAAAGTAAGTTTTCATGTGCAAGTTCTTATGTATTTGTTAGCTGTGAAAACTGAATTCCAGGGAGGGTTTGAGGAAATTGCTCGCGGTTGTCGATAAAGTATCAAAAGCCACTGACCCAACGCTGGTGGAATGCCAGAAGATCCTGGTCACATACCCGCAAATACGTACCGTAAGTGAAACATGGCCATTGTCATAGTCATAGTTGTAGTTGGCGGAAACAAAGACTCCAGCGCAGCGTGGAAGAAAAACGAGATCTGACCCACCTAAATGATCTGCAACATAATGACCGTAAATGGAATTTTTCTTATCGCGATTGTGTGATTCTTCGGCATTTAGTGATCTTTTCTGTTCTTTCTAACGCGGCTTATGTAGCTACTTCTTTGAACTTCCCTCGCACTGCCTATCTGATTTTCACTCACTGGTCTTTTTCTAAAATTCTTTTGCAATGAGCTGTGAAGGGTTTTACAATATGAATTAGCAGTCTAGTCGAAAAATTGGGTTCATCATCTGTTTGTGATTTGCACGTGTCTATATGTATCTCTCTTTTGTATCTCCTTTTCCAGCGTCTTCCTGTTCCTATTTCAGTTTACACATCTTGCTCTTTAGCTTTATCTTAAACTCACTCTCACCCGCTGCCCGAAGTCCTGCCATCACCCTCAATGTAATTTGCATTAAATTTTGTTTGGAAATTTCATGACATACGCATGTTTGTTGTGCATGTAGGTGGAGGAGCTATTAGCGGCGGTGCTAGGTGAGCCGCTGTGGAGAGAAGAAGGCAGAGAGGCAAAAAGGGGGCTCTTGGCCGACAATTCGGAGGCCCATGAAATAAAGTGGACGTATGGTATGGGAGAGCTGTGACCGGGCTCGCGGCCACCATCCACCCCATCTCCATCCACACACACCACAACCTACCAACCACCGTTGCTCTTCGTCGATGCTTCTGATTTTGGTTTTGCAGATTATTTCCTAGCTCTGGAGGTTGTTAATTTGATGACTAAAACGTTCAATTTTTTGGGAATTGGTTTCAAAATCCGTAATTCATGCCTGCAATTTTCACAGTTGGATATCTTTTATTTTAATGGTATACTATAAAAGTATCATTTAAAATAAAGCCAGAGCTTTTATAGTTGTTTTCGAGATTTTTTGCAATATAATTTTGAAAATACTCTTATTAAAAGGGCCAGCAAAGCATTACCATAAATTTTGGCGACTATTGAAACCCCAGAATTTCTACAAAATTTTTCCGATTCGCAGTCCTCTGTAACGCAACCTCGTATTGACTATGCTCATTATTTTTATTTTTGCTTAAGGGGATGCGCAATATACGCTAGAGACTTTGTACATAACGCATTCGTCAAAATTTGACTACGGTATCGAGACGGACCGCGCACGCCTATCAAAGGCAGCCAAAAATTATAAGTAGTCAATCACGAAACGCAGGCGTTGCGTCTCGCGTGCAAAGATTTTTGGTCTTAGACTTATTTCATCAGTTTGAACGCCAAATCTGTCTAGTTTTAAAAACTTCAAAACCACCTCCGCCCAACAACTTTCCAGCCAGCCCACCCACGTAGCGGATTTTGCAGCGCACCACCCAGGCACCTGGCTGTCCGGTCTGTCTCCCTCTTTCTCTGTGCCGCGCAAAAACGCAATCACCATTTATGGGCCTTGTAACGATGTTTCGTGAGCTGTCCCTCTCACTCGCTGGCACACATTCAATTATCGCCTCTACCTCCACAGCAGCTACCACCAGCTACGGTAGCTGTGGATATCGCTAACCCCGGGGGGTACGGTCGGCTGATTGTTTTTGGGGAACGGGTAAAAAAGCGGGTTTTTGATTTTGATTATTTTTACGGTAGGACATGGTGGTTGTGTATCGTAGTTAGGAGGGATAATTGGTGGTACCCACTGGAGGCAGCTAGTAAGGATAGAGTAGATTGCTAATGGGGTTTAATGGAGCGGATATCGTGCTTGTGCTAAACCGGAGATTAAAGAATTTTTTGTATTAATGACAAGACAATGACAAGACGTCCAGGTGAACCAATTGCATCCAAATGCAAATGCCAGACTCACTTACCACCCATCACTCCCGCAATTTTTGCCATCCCCTTCTTTACTAAAAACGAGCCAGAATGCAGAGGTGGGTGATACGCTGGATGGAAGGCAGGGGGCCCGCATGGATCGATGGATCATGTGCACGACGAGCAGCCAGCCTAGCTCTCCTCCCTCCCTCCTCCTAGCCCTCCGACCCATCCCATTAGTTTTAATGTGGCGCTCGGATCGGACGACGAGGAAGGCACAGGCATATGCACACACAGAGGCACACATACAAACCGACGAACTGACGCACAGGGAGATGCTGCCCACGCTCCGCATCTGGCCACCAACCCATAGGGGGCGTCGTGTCGAGGTCGTTCGTATTCAAATTAGCTTCCTGGCGGCTTCTGGTTGGGTTTGGTGAGGTTGGGATGAAAAATGGAGGAAGAAGGAAGGATATATGTGATTTTTGACGATGGATAGCCACTCAGCATCTGTTTCGTTGACTTACTTTTCTTAAAAAAATCCTGCGCGCAAGTGATGTTGACTTGTTTCCATTAATTTTAGAACAATCGATATGATTGAGGCTTTGTTCAACGTTTTAATAGCATAATTTACCAATAACTTAGTAAAATACAATATGAAAATCTATTTAGTCGCCCTGAAAAATAAAATAATTACTCAGAAGGAGAGTATTTTCATAGGCTTTTTTATCTGTTTTTAAAAAGCTAGAGAAAGCATTTCCTTATTGAGTATCTGAAAAATTAAATCTTTAATGCGTTTGCATAGCCATCGGCGAAATCTTATTTTTTTGCATTTTAATTTTCCCCCGTTTTTACGCGATCCGATCGGATGCAGGGATCGGTTTTATACAGTGGTACCTACCGTAGCTTTTCGCTTAAAATTTTGAAACTTTAAAATGGGCCCTTTAACTCATTCCGAACATCGCACCAAAAGCGAATGATATAATACCCAATCCCTAACGATTCCATTTGCAGATGTGTGGGTGGGCTAGAAGGGTGCTGGTGGACACGGTGGCCATCAGAGGGCCATAAATGTGTCCGGAAGGCATCGTGAATGCATCTGATGGGCCGATTCTCACCCCCTCTCCACCATGGACCCAACCGAAGAATGGGTCCTCAGGGATTCTTGGATTTTGGGTACCCAAGGGAAGACCAGGGGAGGGGGTACGGTAGGTCGGCAACACAAGCGTGGGTAGTACTGTAGTCGTAAAGATTATATAATAATATCTTCGGAAATAATTTCTTCATTTTTCTCAATATCGATCAACTTCGGAAGCTTACTAATCACTTCCCAGATCACTGACCGTAATCCCCCACGCTAGCTATCCCTTCTGGCCCTACGGGTGCCGGGAGAGCCCGAAGAGGAGCAGTAGCGAGCCAGAAGGGAGCGAAAAAGTGTGTCAAATGGGGTGCTTCGGAGGCTCGTGTGCTGACTGTTTTTGTGCACCACTGGCTGAGGGCCGTCGCTAGCTGCCCCCTGCTACGGAATGAAAAACGCTTCAAAGGCGGCAGGGGGAGTGGGAGGGGAGGGGATAGCCCTCGGATAACTCGTACTGTATCTTTTGAGGGGGATGAGGAGGATCAAGTCAAGTGGAACGGGTTGGCTAGTGGGGTGGGGGTTCAACTGGGTTTTGGCGGTGAGCAGTATGAAATCAAAAAAAAATAGAGGCCTCGCAAAGGTAGCGGCAATGAAGTTCAGTGATGCAACGCGCCACACGCGACACGCAGCGCGAAAATCCACATAGCGAATCACGCAGCGCTACACAAAACTCGACTTTGAGTGCCAAAAGCCAACTACCAGAAAATCTATAATTGTGCTTGCCCATCCCTTTAAAACAATCTGGTCCATTGTTTTTTTTCAATTCAAATTTTATTCCTGAATATATAATCACCTAGCTCCCAACTAATTAATGCACCATCCCAAGCTTTTTTTAGAAGCAAAAATGGTGCATGGTGGGTTGTTGGTGGTGGTGGTGGAGGCCATGAATCAGCCGTCCCATAAACGTCTCGTTTCGGATGGGCTGACGGTGGACGCGTGTGTGTGTCCTTTTCCACCTACCTCCTCCTTCTGCTCCTTTTCCACTACCCTCCTCCCTACAATTAACCTCCTGTGCTACCGAGAGCTGCGGTGGGTGGGGATGGACAGACAGGACGGCGCTTCCACCCGCCATTTTCCCATGAAAATCGCCGGTTCGCAAAATGGAAATGTCGCTAAAAAGGAGTGGTTTCTAGTTGAAAATGTCATTTTGTTGTGAGAAACTTTTCCTTGACATCGCAATCGCTAACCAAGCTTTGAAAGCTCGGACTTGTTCCGAATTCCAAGCCCTACACCATGAGCCACATGACGCCACAAAACTGTTTTTGCCACCTAGAAACAACTCCTTGTATACAAAAACAAAATTTAAAAATATTTAAGGCATCAAGAGAAAAAACGCATAGCTTAATAGTTCTAGACAGAATTTTTGGGTCAAAACTCAATTGAAAGATGAAACGAGATCAAATAAAAGGATAGATAAAGCCAATTTAGCCTCTTAGGTAATTAGCATAATCAAAGCTCGTCAACCAATCGTCACCGCGATGTCCAGATGGCTTGAAATTTCCAAAATCTAATTTTGACCATTCTAACCGGCTTTCTACCCCCATTCCCACCCATCTCGTTTCGTTTTACGAGATGGGAGAGTGTTGCCGGCAGCCAAACGGAAAAGATTAGGCGCTATTTAATTTCTACTTTATTGGCTTATGGAAATTTGTAATAGGCGTATTAATGGTATCACCATTAATGTGTTAAACTTGCTCCCTAATTCTGTTTATAATGTCTTTACGGAAATTTGTATATGCCAATTTAAAATCGGATATCTCAAACCGCTTCTAAAACCGAAGTTTGTCCTCGATGATCGCCAATTTGCATATATACACATTAAGGAGAGGGTTACACCGCCATCGACCTTCTTCAAGCATTACGTGACTGAAAATTTTCCCAAATTGTATTTTTTGCTGTTACTTTAGACCTCAAGTATTTAATAAACCGTTTATAGTACTCATTCAAATAATAAAACAACGGGATAATACACTGTCCGGCAAGAAACACGACAAACGGCACAGCGAATGAGGGGGATACTGACAAAATAGAGAGACTGGCACATTCCGATTCCCAAAAAGAACGGGTAGGATACGGTAGAAGAAGCGCATTTTGAGCAACGACACACAAGGTGGGGGCCATGTTTTCAGCATTTTGATTGAAATTGGGCGCAGCAACCGTAGGCAAACGGATCATCTGGGAATAAGGGTGGGTTTTATGAAAATATAATTTAAATTACGAATAGATTGCAAATACAGACATGACAACCACCCCGCATCAATGCTGACTGTTTTGTGGCCAAAGGTGGCGCAGCACCCGTGAAATTATGGGGGGATTGAAATTAATTTTTAATGGACAAGAGACGGTGTTTTTAAATTTAAATATTAAAGATTCTTTTGGTTTGCAAAAAGAGATTGCCACTTAAAAACATCTAAAAATTTGCTTAGTGACAGTAAGTCGCCTAGAAATTTTGACGGATCGGTCGGAATCGTTGATATGCTCGCAGGGAGACGTTTAAACTTTAGCTAATACTTGAAAAATTAGAAAATTGATTGGGAATGAGCAGCCAGGGTACAGTATATTCTCGGGCATTGCAGCAGTGTTCCTTAAAGCAAATTCTTTCAAAGAACTAATCTAATAAAAGAAAAAAGGGGGTTGCACATTGTTCGGAATCTGGGGATTGGCTGGGGTCAGTGGAGCGCAAAATATGACAAAACAAAATTACACGAAACGGGTCTCCTTTGGAGACGATTTGACACTGAAAACGAGTAGATGCGCTTTTTAGTGCTGAAATCAATGGCAGGCTAGGAAAATTCGCATAGAAGTACCCAGTCAAAAATGCTCAATGAAACCGGGTGGACTGGAAATGGGAATTTTCGGGGGCCGAATTTCATAGATTCGGTGGACAAAGGGGATAGGCAGGATGACCGTAGGCGCTTGGTGGGACCATTTGGCCCCAAGGGTTCGGGGCTCCACCGGGTCCTAGTGGGAAGCACCTGAAAAATGGAAGTTAGACTCTGAACTACACATTTAAATTAGGCGTGTACAGGGTGTCCCAAAAAAGTACCCCCCTTTAGCGGCGCGCAGACGTGTCCGATTTCTACGGTTTAGTTATCCATCGAAAGCTCTCGTGAAGGCGAGAAAACAGGGAGGGTTCATTTTCTTTATTAGGGATTTTTATTCGCGAATTTGACCTCTAAAAACTATGAAAACGGCAGATTTACGCGAGATCTGCATGCTAATTGCGAAATTCCTATTGAAAAGTTAGCTGTTTTGTAGAAAAATGTTGAATATCGAACGAATAAGAATAATTCTTAGAAAATAAAAGCCCGCTTGTTTGCTCGCCTTTTCGCGGGCTTTCGAATGGTATAAAAATCATCCTGTTCTGAGTTTCCTCCGGACCGCTAGAGGGGGGTGTTTTTTTGGGACGCCCTGTAGTCGAATCGGGCTTAAAATTGGGAGAAAGATGGAACGGGAGATGTCCATCATTCCTAGATTTTTAACGTTAATACAAACGTTCAAAATAGAAGGCCTACAAGCTCAACGTGGCAAAAGACTCAAAAATTTTAGAAAATACTCTAAGCAAGGAATGATTAGCACCACCGATTCTATATTTATTTCTATTTTGAGACGGACTCTCTATATCTCTCTTTAAATCTAGACTTTCTTTTAGAACGTACCATTTCTTGTCATCATCAGTCCCATCATGCGGCTTCTGTTGCGTATTCGGCAATAATGGCACCGCATCTCCACTCTCTTCCAACCGATGCTTCTCTTTCTTTGCCTAAAATAAATACTAACCCCTCGAAATAAACCACTCACCTTCATTCGCCGATTCTGGAACCAAATTTTAATCTGCCGATCGGTGAGATTGGTCTGGATCCGGAGCTCCTCCCGTTGCTTCTTGCTCACGTAAGAAGACTGTTGAAATTTGCTCTCCAGCACCGATGTTTGGTATCGTTGATAGGTCTGGCGCCCCTTTTTTGTTTGCGCTAAATAGGCTTCTTTTAGAGGATTTAGTGGTGGGGTGAGGGTTTGGGTGAGGTGACTGCGACTCACCGTAGTTCGGCCAATGGGGTGCTGAATAGGAGCCGGGCCAAGCACCAAATGTTGCCGCTGGGTTGAGGGGCTGGAACTGAGTAGAATTTATTTTGATAAGATGATATTTTCATGAAACGGGTGTATTGTAGAGCCTAGGATAATATAGATGGGATGTGTCGTACCTGTCCGAATTGATGATAATAGTTGGGCCAAGCACCGTAACCGGACATGTAGGCACCGTAGTTGAGGGCTTCAGCTGTTGGGGTTGAGGATTCGCCATCTTCTTTGCCGACACCCTGAATTTATGCAGTTATAGAAGGTGATCTGATCAATAATATATTCATATTTATTATAGTGTTTATATGACGGTAAGAAGATAACTAACAAATCAACTTCCGCTCCAGAATAACACAATTTTTGTTATCTAGAGAATGGACTGTAGCTAGTATCAATATGACCGTACATCTAATATCAGAATCCTATAGCTCAAAATAATCCGAACCAAACTGGTGTCAATAAGCACAGCTGTACCTTAACCACCCATCGACCCATAACCCCCCCCCCCCCCCCTTTCAGAAGCCCCCGCCCGTCCCATAGCCTAAGATTTATGGCTGGTGAGCGGAAAAGTTGTCTTTCTTCCCCTAAGGGCCACCAGTATAGAGAAGAGGGACAAGTTCGGGAATCAATATACGGGGGGCACATGTCCCGGACGGAGGAGGAGGGCCCACTTTGGACCCAACGAAGAAGTCAGCATACGCGTGTCTGTCACTTTCCGTTTGCTTCTCAAATCAGGGGGGAAGTTCGAATAGAAGAAGAAAGGGTTAAATAGAATACTCTAGGGGGGGAGGGTCATTAGGGATTCGGGTTGCGTAAAAGTGTTGAAATAAAGATGTTGAGCGTTGAAGGTTTTTTCAGGCTACAGTATGTAAAGCTATAACTTTTATCTAGAGCTTTATTATTTTGAGTCTTGTCCAGAACATGGAAGTTTTGTTTGAAAGATTTAAGAAGTGCAGACTATCCTGATCCACTAAAGTTACATGACCCTCAATTATGCTAATTTGAAATCACGCTACAATACCTACTACTCAATAGAAAACCCAAACTTAAGAAGCTTTAACTAAACTTAAACAACATCCTGTAACATTCCCTCCCATTGAATGAGACCCATCTCCTAGATCCCCTTGAAGAGAAGAACGAGAGGCTAAAGGAATGGAGAAGGGGCCAATAAATGGGCGGCCATAATTGCCCAATTTAAAGAAAGAGGCTAGTCAATGGGCGGCAGGATGGGCAATAGAAAATAGAGGGTGATGATCGGGCGGAATGTTATGGCCAACCTGTGTCATTGCGGCCAACCGTTGTAGATGATCAGAGCCGATTGTTGTTGATGAGGCGGTTGATGGAGCGGATGAAGCGGCTGCACTCTCGGTAGATGAGGACCCGGCCGAGACGGCGGCTGCAGTGGCCGCAAAGTCGAATCCAAGCGGATTCATCATGGTCGTCTAAAGGGGACGGCCCCTCTTGTGAATAAATGTGATGGAATATGGGCCCGACGGATGAGAAGGGGGGAGGGCGGTACCGTAGTCGGGGGAAGGGGCGGGACACAACGCGGATTGGCCGGCACGGAAAGAAGAGGAGAGGAGGGGACGGGCCACCCTGAAAATGAAGGGATTAGAGAGAGGGAGAGAGGGAGAAAGAGAGAAAGAGGGAAAAGGGGAACATACAAAACGAAGCACTCATTCTCGATGGCAATTGAATTGAATGGATGTGGAAAATGGATACTACATTGGCAGGCGGGGCTTGGTTTTAAGGGGAATATCTCGGGATTCACTCCGTCGTCATTTTGGATCACGTTTTTGAACGTTAGAATAACTTTACTGGCTTTGTATATTTGTGCTGGCGGCTGGCTATTAATTCAAAAGATTTATCCCTTAAATAAAACCAAGTCATAGTTATACTTCATAGTTTGATAGATAATTTATACATTCCAAAACCTTGTCTCTGATAGGAAGTTTGTACCCTGTCTCCTAAGTTTCTTGATTATGCAAACTTCGTTTTAACTACACCTTTCCGAACGCATACACTATTCTTGGCCACTCCTTCCTAATAACGACGAAGATGGCGCTTTTTATGCTGCTGCCAAGGGCAATTTGCAGGCCGATGACGACAATCGCTTCTGGCAGATGGGGTGCCGATTTGAGGGTGCTTGTTAAAAGGTTAAAAGAACATAGATTTCAATGTTTTTAATTTAAAATTGCTAGCGCCAAACAAAATCAACGAAATCTTGTTCCACAGAATTTAATTGGAACCCTTAGCAAATTCGAGAATCAGTTTTAGAATAAAATCTGGATCGTAGCATGCACCTTATTCATGACAACCCAGTTGTATCATCCCTCAAAAATCCCGACCACCCACGATGCTTTTTGCCAAAATATTGGCAAAAACCATCCCCCCGCCCTTACCAAAAAAGGTGCATCAAATAGGAAAGCATACAATTGACAGTACAGTCGAAAAGGAGAGGCCCACCCACCACCCTTTTGTATTCCATAGAAGTGGTAGACGAACCGCCGGCCCGCGTCCGGCCCATTCAAAAATCACTTTTTTTGCCCCCGCGCCTCTTTTCTTCTCCCTACCATTTCGCGATGGCAAACACGCTGACCACCAAATTTTCCCGCCATCCATTTTAGGAAGCTTTTTTTAAGAATGGGGAAAAGGGAGAAAAGAGGAGGAGGAGGCTTTTATTTGGATAAGGAAGATAGGGATGGATGGTGGCGATTGATATGGTTGAAGGAATCGTTGAGAATGTTTTAGGCGGTTTAAAGGTACACATCATTTTGACCGTTTCATTGATGTCCAAACTACGGAAAAGGGATTGATTTGAGATAGAGACGCAACGGATATAAACTCGATATTGGGATGGCTTGCTAATTACGACATAGACTACAACCTTCAAGAAAACACGATTTGTTTCGCAAATAAATATAGCGTCTCTTCGACTTTCATCCTAATTAGCCCATTATCTGATATATCATTTAGATTCGTAACATCTATCCCTTTAAATCAGATTTCTAAAGTTCTAGAAAATTCTTAAATGCACCGTCTAATTTCTAGCGACAAAAATGAATAAAATCTTTGTCAGAAAAATATTATAATCTCCCCATAAAACTACAAAGTTTATACAGATGGGTGTAGGCTGTAGGGCCCAGCAGGGCAGGCGCCAGGATGTCGCGCGGGCACTTCCTTCTGCCCCCTGAGAACCCATTAGAAGGCAGCCGGACCTCGGGGCGGGACCCAGCCTTTCCTTCCCTCCTTTCTAACCTACCCTACCAACACGAAAAGCCTTTACTAATAACCTCTAGCCCTTTAGGCATCGTTGTCGACACCAGTTTGCAGCTAAGGAAAATGGCCGTTTAGAGTCATTTGAAGTTTTGCAAGGAAAAACGGGAAAAACAGGAAGCGAGAGTTGATCCAGATCATTTCCCTCTGCTGTCTAAAAACTGCTCTGCTGCTGGCTAAAAGCTATCTTTTGACTTAGGTAAGGCCATTTTTCGTGCCTCGCGTTATATTTGATGCGTTTAAAGCTATAAAATTACGTAATAAACTTTTTTATAATTTATCAGTAAGGTTGTTATGCAATCAACAAGTTCTAGAAAACAAATTGAAGCTGATAGCTACGAATAAAGACGTTCAAAATTCTGCCCATATCTCTCATTCCCGAAAGCGTACTTCAAATACACCAGTCCCCACCAAACAAACCCGGTAAATTACGTTCCCCAAACCTTTACGACGTTGATCTTGGACTGAAATTGGTTTCTGGAAGCTGTTGAAAGCCCCCCCCCCCCTTTTTTTGCTTCTGCTCCACCCCTCCCGGGTTCATCCCAGCCCTATAACTCAAATTGAAGTGCAGGCGGATTGCCCTCCCCCTCATAGATCAGTGATACCGCTGCGCTCCCACGCTTTTTACCTATCGGCCTCCTCTCCGAACCCGGCTTATCCCCTTCCTGGGAAGCCCCCCGCACCTTCCAAAAAGCGCTGCACGTCGGGAGTAAAAACGGTGATCACCGAAAATTAAGGGCGCGTCGTTACTGTACGAAAGAGAGAGAGAGAGCGAGTGAGAGAGACAGAGAGGGGAGGCTGGTTCATAGTAAAAACTGGGAGGAGGCGGAGGAGGAGGAGGTCGGCCAGATGAAAGCGGCGCGTGCGTGGATAGTTTTTTGAGGAGATGGCACACGGGGAACTCGAGCGGATCAAGATTTCGGGAGGAGGTGGAGGATCTGGGGGGATGAACGAGCATGAGGAGGGGGATCGCGAGATTGGAGGTCTTACTGTATAGAGATTAATAAGTGCTATCTGGATCTAGACAGACTTTTTGGTAGTTATCGTACTTAACTTAAATTTTGAGAATTCACTTCCTTACATACAGTATCTCCATCAGTACTCACTATATATCATTTCACACTATATAGTTTGTAAGAAACCATTAGTTTCCTTATAGCTCTTAGTGCCTTTCCGCAGTTGAAGTACAAATAAAGCTTGCCGTCTTACCTCCATGTACTACCATCCTCAATTACACGCAATACTGCGATTTTCAAAGCGTCACCCCTCCGATGCGCGTGCGCGTAAGCGCAGATGCGGGACCACCGGAGCCAGATCAAAGTGTCCATAAATCGCGATACCAATTTGGGAGGGTAAGAGGGAATGGAAGAGGCGCCAACTATCTTTATGTGATCAGAGGCAGAGGAAGGCACGCGCCCCCGATTCTCAGCTAGGGAAGCAAGAGGAATAGGGGGAGGATGAGGGTAGAGACGGAAACATCAAGGGAACCGCGCACAGGTGCCCTTCGGCAGCGTCAAAATTTGGAATGGAAGGTTCAACGTTCGAATTCTGGATTGAGGGATAAAAGGATCTGGTCTTTTGGATGCGCGTTAGATAAAGCATCATATCTATTAGAATTTAAGGAACCTTAACGTAGTCATACAAAAAATACAAATATGCGTCATAAATTTCTTGTTCCAGAGCTACAGTATTGAAAACTATTTCATAATAACAAAATCAAAACCATTAATCCCAACAATTACAGTACCCCCCCCCCTCCTTCCCAAATCCTATTAGCAACCCGACACCTCCAGCTATCGTAGCCCGCGCGCCGAAAGGGGGTAGAGAAGGAGAAGGAGAAGCAGCAGAGGGCCCGGCAGCCTGGGTAGGCATATGAATAATAATGAAGTGGAAGGGGGGAGGGTGGAAAAGAAAAAGAGAAAGGGCCCTAGGAGGCTCGTCCGACAGCCCCTATAATGGCCTTAGAATGGCTTCCTCTGCTCCTCGACTACCCTTTCCGCCACCAAGACCACCCACAGCGTTTCCGGGCTTCTGGAGTAGTTTAGATTAATTTTTAAGATAGGGGACTATGAATTTTGGATGGGTTTGGAGCTTGCAAACTGTTTTTGGGTAAGGAGGCTACGGTGGATGTGCTGAGAAGGTGGGTGAAAATTTGAAATAGGACCAAGCTCACCTTATGCAATAATTTTTTTCTCTTCCAGACCCGTTATTGGAATTGCAAGTTAGTGTAATATAATGTATATACTGCCCATAATTTTTGGCAACGCGTTAATAGCGGGCTTACTCCCAAGTAAACCCAAAAATTGTACCTAGCCTTCAAAAAATCCCCTCACGAAAAACCTTCAGCGCGTTCCAGCTTAATTTGAGGGTCCACCCACCCCGTGTTTCATTTCGCGGCACCCATTCTGCCACCAGCCACCAAACGCCTCAATTTCGATGCCCCAAATTTCAGGGCGTCGAGAGCCGCGCGAGACACCGTGTCGCCCACTCACCCATGGTTAGGGGGAAATAAGGGGGCAGATCGGCCATGATTTAGCCATCGAAATGGTAGACTACCAACCGGAAGCTTGGGCTTAAACATACCGTATTTCTTCTAATAGAAGACGTATCGTATTTTTTTAATCGCTGGGTAAAACAAAAGAAATTAGTATTTTTGAACAAAAAAATAGAAGACCCATTCATTATAAACTCTCACTTTGAAAAATTCGTTCGACAATGTCCAAATAATGTTTCAATCAATACCAGCTTGCTCAGCCAGCCAATACTGAACAAACGACAACCTCTGAGAAAAAAGCCGAATACCAGCGATAAATCTCCTGAGCAGGTTGTCGACAACTGAGAGCCCCCCAGGTGAGTGGCCAAGACATTGAAAACTTGGCGGCTCAGGGTACGGTAGTGCAGGTAGGGCCCAACCCCCAGAGGGCCCTGTCTCTGCCTCTCGACTTTTCAAAGATGCCGCCCGGCACCTCGGCCCCAATTCAGAAGTCGTAAACGATGAAATACAGCCCCCACCACACACCCTCACAGCAGCCACACTCCAAAGTGTCTGTCCCCCCGGAAGTGCAAAGGGTATATGCAAATCAGGGCATAATGGGGGATCGTTTAGATTGGAATGGTATTGGGTGCGACAATGTAAATGGGTATTTTTATTATTTTAAGG